GAAAACAACTACATTTTTACATTCGCCTTAGTAAAAAACACCGTCAAGAATAAGTTTTGATATCGGGACTGAATTATACATGAAAGTGCATTTGATATATTTCAGTAATGTTCAGAATATGATGTAATTATAATAGTTAAAGAATTAAAGAGCAACTCCTTCTATCAAATGCATTTTATGTTTATATAAGGCTTGCAAAATAGAACTGGATGTTTTTCGCTTAATTGTAAAGGTTTATTTTCTTATTTATGAAGTGGTGTCCTTTTTATTACTTGTTATTAAACAGTCAAAGGCCGGAAATAATACAAAAAGAAACAGAAAAAACAATCTGCATGCCCTTTTTATTACTTACAATAATATCTGATAAAAAGGCAAGCAGAAAAACTCGCGCAACGCCAACACTTATACATTGCATGATGCAGGATTGTTAAAGCAGCACGCCTCCAGATTCATGCTAATTTACATGAAAATTTTGAAAATGTATTCGAAAGTGTAATATTGTAAAGTAACCAAAAGGAAGCAATTTACACATTATCAATGGCACTTACAAACCACGTACATTACCAAACATTGGTCAAAATATGCATAAATAGCCTTTACTGTGTTAGTAACGCAGTAGAAATTAAGTTGTACATACTGAAAAATCAGTCATTAATCGCACATGATATGTAAAAAAATTACTTGAATCTTGAAACTTTTTTACTTTTCCTTACATGTTAGTACATTTTTCAAAAGTTTCATTTTATTGAAATATTTTGAGTCGAGCTTAGATCTTAAACAGAATTCGTTATGAACCTACAGTTATTACCATATTGCATTTCTAACAAGGTTTACAATTTTGTAAATTTTTGACATAATGTATAAAAATCAAAATATTTCAACGGAAAGATAATGTGAGATATTAGCTTTAATAAGAAGGTACGTTGAAGTAATAGAAGAAATAAGCATGTTAGAAAAATATATAAGTACTTTGATAGAAAGCTACAGAAAACGTTAATGTACAAAAAGCAAGCTCCGTTTGAAGAAATGTTTCTTTCTGGAATAAAAGCTCTAATGGCAAATTCCCCAGTAAGTAGTCTTATAAGTTCATACAATTTTGGTTTAAATTTATCAGTTCGTTGGCATATTCAATACTTTATAAATTCATTGGGTACGCAATGTTTATAAAAATTATTCGTTTAAAATCTTGACTTCACAGACTCATAAATTCGTTTTATAAACCATTTCAAATAACATAGTATTACATGTTCTACTGTAAGTTCGTGTAAAACATGAATTTCATTTTATTTTTCTAAAGTAGATCTTATACATGTGTACTTCTGTACTTTGATTGTTACTACATTTCCTCCTAATTGAGTTTACCATGACTATGCAGATTTTTTCAGTGACTTTTGGCATAATTAACTGACAACATCTCACATACGTCATGCGTAATTGACCATAATGCACGATTTTTTATGTTGTCTTTATTACAATAAATGTCATGTTCCAGATAGAAACTAACGTTATTACATCAATAGTATCAAGGTAGGCGGATTTTTAACAGATTCATCCAAAATAGGTTACTTCCTGGCGTTGGACACATTGACTTATAATTCAAAGGACCATTATTGTGTCACGGGGAACGAACTGTCAAAGGGGAGTTTTCAAAAACATCGTCTCATTTTATGAAAAGGGGCACTTACATCAGCTTGTGTCCTTATTTTTACAGACACACACGGGGAAAGAACTGGAAGTTCTTCTGATTACTGTTACGGAGTTCCTCAAAAATAGTTTGTATGTACCTAAGGAACACTCAAAAATGGTAATTTTAGTAGGAATTACATGTTTTCAAAGCACTCTAGCACGATCCGCTATTCATATTCCTCCATAAAAACTTACTTTATCACTTTATAAACTTTGGTTAACTGTAGTTTATATATATTTATTCTATGCTCAGTGCATTACTGATATCTTTATGTAAATAGTATTTGTTTATCCCCAGTGAAAACATTAAGAATAAATTCACACTAGCATAAAATGAGACTACGTATTTTTTTTAATTCCCCTTTGTGGTGCCTCATTATAATTTTCAATTACATATAATCTGCAAGTTCATACATTTTTAGACACGTTTTCGACATATCCACGATGCTTTAGACCAATAATAAAAGTTACAATCATAACCAGATACATAACATATACTAACATTCTCATGAAAATCAAACTGGTTCTTTAATCAGAATGTTGCTTAGATAAAACAAGATCATCTTACACAAAAAACACAAGATACTCTGTTTTTTTTTAAATTTTATCTCATACTTGCAGAGTGAAAAACTTCGCGCAATTTTTTGTTTGTTTGAAAGATATTACCATGCATTTCTTATATTCGAAACAAGGAAAATACTTGTTGTAGCGAAATTGATATCAGTAAATATGATCAAGAAATATGATCAGATATATATCAGTAATGTTATCAAGCATAACAAAAATATAAAGTGAAAACCTTCTCGAAAATAGGTTGGTCGGGTGATAATATTATGTATTTCTTACAGTTGAAGATGTTCGTGGAGTTGGCAGCCGAGCAGCCTAGTAACTTGAAGTTGGCAGCCTAGCAACCTAAAGTCAGTGACATATACTACATATTCGGAAACGACCGGAAACTCCGTTTTGACATGACAAAAGATTATCTCTGAAGGAGAAGAAATACTTTATATGAGCCGCGTCACGACAAAACCAACATAGTGCGTTTGCGACCAGCATGGATCCAGACCAGCCTGCGCATCCACGCAGTCTGATCAGGATCCATGCTGTTCGCTATCAGTTTCTCTACTTGCTATAGGGTTTGTAAGCGAACAGCATGGATCCTGATCAGACTGCGCGGATGCGCAGGCTGGTCTGGATCCATGCCGGACGTTGGTTTTGTCGTGACGCGGCTCATATCATCATGAATGTCTCACAGTTACAGCAAGTAACTAATGACAGGTAGTTCCTTTAGAGGTTATCATTTACAGTAAGTGAATCAATTGTCGCAATTTATTTTCTCAAGTGAAAATAAATGTCAAGCATGACAAGTCATGTCAATTTCTCGTCGCATATTATTTGTTCGAAAATTCATGCATACCTCCGTCGTATATTAACATTCTGCAGATCGTTTAGGAAATTGACATTTACAAAAAAATTATTTCTAAGTATTCATTTTTTCGCATATACATTTTTAAGTTGAAATACTACGCACGCCTTACATTGCGTGAACATGTTAGCGCAAGTTACAATAACTAATACAATATTAATTTGACAAATTCTAATGATACCAAAGAACTACTTTGTATTGCGAAGTAATCGGATGTAATGTTGTCAGTTCGTTTACGTGTTGGTAAACGATTCTTCAATTTTGGTGAAGCTGTATTCACAAAGAAGTCGTGAACACTAAAATGATAAAAATGATGAAAAAAGACAAATATGCCGGGGAGATAAAAATAAAAACAAAGAAAATATCGTTTTTAACTACAATATATTGCACATAATTTTTCTTGTCATTGGATTGTATGACAAGATAAAAGTAAATATAGCACTTTGAGATATACAGTATGATACAAAACATCTGATGTTTTATAAGTAGTATATAATACTACAAACTATATAAAAATATATATTTGTAACGATAACATTGTCAAAATGTCGATTGTTTCCAAATAATTGAGCATAATCATTAACATAAATGTCCTTTTAAGAACATGAATAAATTATATAACATTTTCCATTTCAGTCTTTGATCATCATAATCTTCAATCGTCCTCTTTTTGGACTGTTTCTACATGTTTCGCTTTATATATAGGTTTTACGTGTTCTGTGGGATATACGTAATTCACTTCATGTGACGGGTATACGGGGTTAACATGTTCGACCGGATAGACGTGATTTACTAGATCGTTCTGGTACACTGGCTCCACTTGGTTAACAACGTAGACCTCTTTTACGACCTTCACTGGTTGAATCTGATACACAGGTTTTACCGAGATGACAGGACGCACCTTTTCAACGGACTTTACAACATGAACATGGTGCACAGGTTTTTCGACAATAATCGGTTTTGCAGGTTTCTTTGGAGTGACGATATACATCGGTTTCTTCGGTTTAAAAACTGGTTTTATTGAATCCATTATTTTGCTTCCACAAAATTTTCTTGTGCACATTGTTGGCTACAAAGAAGAAATAGAAAAGAAGAAATAGAAAAGGAAAAAAATAAAGTATTAAGTGTGGTTATTTTTCAATAAATCGGAGCAGAATTTTACTTTTATAGGTGAACGTAGAAATCAATGTTTCACTTGTTTTGTTAATTCATTCTAATTTAAATCAGACCGTTACTCTTCACTACGATGGGCAGAGAATATGAATTAGAACGATTGCAGTTATTCAAAAATATATTCAAGTAATTTTCCATCAACTAGTATTTGAAAATTTTCTGAATTCAATCATATTTTATATGAACGACTCAAATAATAATTGGTGGAAACAAATCATTATTCATTTCATAGATATATTTCAGTGCATTGTACATGTTTACAGATGACATAAGAATCAACCTACCTTGCCATCAAATCCACATATACATGAATTGCAACCATCAATGACATATCGTTGACCAAGTTCTACTCGGTATCCCATATCGTCGTAACAACAAACTGAAGGTAGAAAAAATTATCTGTTATACATACAACATCTGTATAGATTTGTCATGTACAGTGCTAGTAATGTTTGTATCAAATATACAATCATTTTTATGTTGTTGTTTTTTTTTTCAAATTTTGAGTCAATGACTTAAAAAATATATATATATTAAAGTGCTTTCTAAATTATGTAAATTAGGGTTATTGTTAATGATTCTTCATCTTGTATTTGAATCTCGCAGATTTTACTAAAATGGATCTCACTCGGCGGTTTTGTGCCACTCGGGGCAAATAACGTTAGAGTTCCAGATCTATATACTCTTATATTCACACTACTTTGCCAATTTAGAAAATATTATAGCAGTATCATTCACAAGTGGATCCATTTCATGCAGGTGGATCTATTTCATGCAGGTGGATCCATTATATGCAAATTGGTCCATTTTGTTTGACCCAGTGAAATCAGACAATGAAAGTATATGAAACAAAACAATATATTTTTTTGAAGTTGAAATATTTAAGAAAGGTATAACGACTTACTATGAATATATAAAAACAATAAAACGGAAGAGAAAATGTCGAAAGCTAAAGAAAAACGTTTGCTTTTATTGAAGTGATTATCTATTTTTATATAAAATATTTCGCCATATTTCTGTCTACATCTGTATATATGTATATTCTACCTTCTTAATATTAACTTAACTAAACATTTTGTCATTGACAAAGCAAAATCAGATCTAGACCTGATTCTCTGTAAAATCGAATTCGCCCATATCAAGTACATTGTATTTTCTTATAAGAGTTTTATAAATAAAAATGAAATATATAAATTGATTTAATATTCAAAATATTCTTTAAAAATATGTAATTATCTTCAAAAGTAATTACCTGACTTTGTGGGATACTTTACTTTCATGAACGCTGAAAAAAAGAGAAATAGTTCACGTGTCAATTATTACCGTCAGCTTAAAATAATTTTTTAATAATAATGACGTTGCTGTTAAATTTAGTGTTGTTATCAAAAGTTCTAATTAAATCCTTAATGAAATGGTGGTGTTTATGAAGTTAATAACATTTATGTTTTTAAAGTTATGTTGCGAAAAAGTCCTTGATTAATCAGTTAAAAATATAATTAAGATGTTAAATATGTATAAGCAAACTATATAACATTTTTTATTTAATAAGTGTTAAATTTGTTGCAATATATTTCAATGATTCATTACATATTTAAAATATGTTGCTAACACAATAAATAAAAAAATTACAATATTAATAATAAAGAAAAGGCGAAAAATATATTAAAATATATCTTTAATAAGGATAAAAGAATGATAGTTTGAAAAATTCATTTCACTTACTAGCTTGTGCATAAGTAGAGAATCCCGCCAAAAAGCAGACAATAACGAACACGTTCATATTTCTCATTAAAAATGTTAAAACTAAACACACAATGTGATTCAATATATTGTGGTTGAATATTATGATGAAAATATATTTTGTGTTCCATATTTATACCTAAATTTAGAGGACATATACCTTACGTAAAGTGTTTTTGTTTCCGTACCAAATCATTCTAAATGAGGAAACAAGGTGACTTTACGAGGTTGACCATTGACCAATGACCGGATATTTTCCCCTTAATTTATGCCACTTTTGTCCAATGCGTCGCCACTTTAACATGCAATATATCTGCCATATAATAATTCTTTCATTTTTTATTGACAGTCGCATGCTTGCACAAAAACTTTTTCCTGTACAACGAACCTTGACAATGAACGAAATGTCGCTGCACAGGTCACGAAAAGGTCCTCAGGCGTGCCTTTCCTCCCACTCGTGTTAAATATGTCATACAAAGACAGCAACCACACGATTATTGTGATTATATAACTATAATTTCATTTGAAAATAAAAATTCATTTTTAAGGAGATTCTAAAAAAAAAAACCGTAAAATACAATGCTTAAATACAATGAAAAAAAGTGAAAAAAGTAATAAAAGACAAGTATCATATTTATTAGTTCCACTTTTTAAACATTTTAGAGTTTATCTACTTCGATGCATATTATTAACGGTAAATTTAAATATTACGTTTAAACGAAGTGGGGAGTCGGTTAAGTTCAACCGAAAATAATATCATGATTCATCATGTATAGACACATTTTTTTAATGTTCATGTTGGCATTTTTAACCATGTTCCCGCTAAATTTTGAAGAAAGTTATCGATCGTTCAATCCGGACAAAAAAATCATCATTTTTATGGATAATATCAAAAATATAATTTGACTGATAGGCGAACTAAGCGCATACCATGATAGCAACATAACAACAGAATTCTAGCGTGGAAGAAAAAAAACTCATTATTATGACCAAAAAAAATCTGCAGTATTCATACTGTCTATCCAATTGTTTTTATAAGTAAACAGTAATTTATTAATAAAAAAAAGTCTTTAATACACGTGTATCGCAGTCATCTGTTAGTGTAGTATATATAGTGTCTGTGGCGCCGTTTTATGTCGCAACGCCGCTAAATGTCGCACTTGCCGCTAAATGTCGCACTTTCCGCTAAATGTCGCACCATTGACGCTAAATGTCGCAACCGCCGCTAAATGTCGCAAAATCATTTGACGTTAAATGTCGCAATGTTAACGTTAAATGTCGCACGAATTTCCCTTACCGTTAAATGTCGCAACACTACCGTTAAATGTCGCAAGATGTAATTTTATGTTGAACTCAAGTTTTATTGTTGGATCATATTAATTAAATCTGCCTTCTCAATTTGAAAGCGAGTGAATTTATTATATATGGAACTGCGCTACAATTTAGGCGGCGATAAGACTCATCTTGTAAATAAATGTATATTGTTTTGCCTTCGATTTTTAGCTGACACAAGTACATTGTACATATGGATACAATTGTCTACTATTTGAATGAAACTGCAAAATTGGCATTGTTCTGTAAATAGTTTAGTACAATTGTGTCTGTAAAATGGCAGAAAAGACAGGCTGCCTGAGGTGGCAGTCTGATTGCCTAGTTGACTGAGGAGGCAAATTGTCTCGCTGTCGGAAGAGGAAGCCTAAATTGCTGACGACCTGGACCTTAAGAGTTTGCCTAACGTCCTGTAAACCTAACGTTGGTAGCCTAGTATCCTGAGGAGGTTGCCTAACATCCTAACAGCCTATCGATGTCAGCTTTGCAACCTGAAGTTGGCAATCTAACAGCTTAGAGTCGGCAGCCTAGTAGCTTAAAGTTAGTTACTTATATTATAAATATGGAAACAATTTAAAATACAGTAAAATCACTATGAAAGGTCGTGCAAAAGCACATACACATGCATGATTATTGAAAAAAACGCCTTTACCTTTAGGGCACTTAACTTTGAAGTCTTATAGCCTAAAGCTGGAGCCTGGCAGCCCAAAATTGGTGTCATGTTTTAAAAAATGGAACGATCAAAATAATAAAACGACAAGTTGGATTTTTCCTAAAATCTACTTGTACAAAGGGCTTCATAATTTACACATTTATTAATCAATACAATAAAGTTGATCATGGCAAGTAACATAATTATTGCATACATTTTAATCAAGTTATTGCCATTTTCAACAGTTTGAGAATGAATATCGTTAACCTAAACCAGCAAGTTGGATTTATTTAAGTACTGTCTATACTTATATATTCATAATTTCCACACTTACTTATTAAGAAAAAGTTCATGATTGCCATCCATTTTCCCAAGTTATATTCCTTTTTTTCACTTTGAAAATAGGACCTTGTATGGTTAACCTATTCCGGTAAGTTGGATTTATCTTAAAAATTTATTTAATGATATCTTCCATATCTGGTAGGTGAAAGCCATTAATGGCCGTGTTTTTTTATGGAGTAAAGAGTCTCTAGTGTCAAGGTCACTGGTGTGAATTTTTTACAACATTTTTGCCCATTAAGTTTTTATTGTTAAGATTATGTATTTCATGTTTAATACAAACATGCCAAGGGAGGTCCTCTTCCTTTGGGTTTAATTGGGGGTCCTGTAGGTAAAGGCCAAAGTCACCAATGCCAAAATAGATTTTTACATGTTTACAGGTGTTTTAACATTATTCTTTTGAAAGATGTCTTTTATATTTGGTAGGAACATGGAATTGAGGTCTTCTCCTTTGGATGGAGTTATGGTTCAGTTGGGTCAAGGTCACCAGTTCTAAAATAGATTTCTACACTTTTACAGCCTTTATTTATTGACAAATGTATTTCATATTTTGAAGGTAGATAACTTGCATGGTATTCTTCCTATATATTGAGGAAGGGATCAATGGGCCATGGTCACAAATGCTAAAATAGATTTTAATTTGCAGGATGAAGTTCACACAAACAGTTCATGCTTTTATCAAATTTGCTAGTCGTATGCGTGTTTTTATTTCCATTTTAACGCTAAAAGGGCAGTGGACATTCATATTATTGTTGCAATAAATTAAAAAGATGTTTTCTTTACACATCTGTTCCATTTGTTTTTGTTTTGAAAAATAAAGTTCTTAAAATTATCTTAAATAAATACACTATTGTGCGTATGTTTGTATTTATGGTCATTTGAACTTCACTATGACGTAGTCGACATGCGCATTTTAGAAAGAACATAAAAGTGGTTACAGATATCTAACCAATATCGTCGTTACATATGTACGAGTATAATTCATGTCTTGTGTTTTTCGAAAAATGTCAGACTTAATGTCAATGAAATATTTATCATGAAGCGTTACAGATTAAGACTTTCATTACAGCAAAGCAATGATATAAAAAGCCTAAATTATCTGGCCAAAACGGCTAGCTGTCTTCAGCCAAACAGCAAGGCCAATATGAGCTTAATCAATTATTTGTATTCTTATTATATGGTATTTACTGAGAATCTTTCATAGTATAAAGCGACTTGACGAGTAAAATATCACTTGCCACAATGTCAAAGCGTAAATAGTGTTTGACAAATCGTAAAATGTACTAAATCTTGTGTACTTATTTTAACTTTGACATCTGCTTACTGTGTGTGAATTTGCGTTTATTTATACTCCCCACCGGTTGACCATATGGGCGAGTCCTCCAGAAGAGTACACGTCATTTTATATTTTTGGAGGATAGCGCAATTACAGATGTAGAAAGATATGCCCCGATTCCAGAAGCTTCCCCTTCTTTAACGTGCCAAGTTGTTTTAGCACCCATACACGGTACATAAAGTATCATCCGAGAGACTGATCAGTAATTTTAGTTGGCCAGCCTGGGAATAGAACCAACAAGGTCGAGGTTACAAGTCTCGCGCTCTATGCGGGCTGGCTGCTTACAAAAATTCCGGTTCATATAATCGTAAAATTCGCTCATATCTAGCACCCGACTGCGGATCGAATACTACATGACCAAAGAGTACTACATGATATGAGCCGTGTCACGACAAAACCAACATAATGGGTTTGCGACCAGCATGAATCCAGACCAGGATCCATGCTGTTCGCTATCAGTTTGACAATGCGGATGCGCAGGCTAGTCTGGATCCATGCTCATATTTTTTTTGATTTTCGTATTGACCGTGTTTTTTCACGTAATTGCCGTTACTGTTAAAATAAAAAAATTGCCTTGATATACAATCAATATTTCACGTTTGAAGTGAATATTTGTGATGTTTCTTTTTTGAAAATATAAAAAGGGAGATATTTTAGAAAAAGTACCTTTCAGGGTCATCTGTCCTTTAGAAATGCATTAGTACTTTCATATATTTTAAGTTTAAAGTGAATATGTTTTAAATTAGCCGTAACCAAAAGGTTAATCAGGGCGAAAACATCTTAGAAAAATAAGGGGAAACTTTTGCAAAAATATAACTAGGATAATTTCGCCCCATTAAAGCAAAAAGGTACCAAGCGACATTTTGGCCAAAAATGACTTTTTAACATTTTTCATTATTTTTTAATGTTATCTTTAATCTGTAGAAATATCTCTGTAGTATCATGTTTATTTACAGATATATATAAGGTTATGTAAAAAGGTACAATGTCAATATTTTCCCATTTAGTAATGCAAAAAGGTACCATATGCATATCAGTTTGAGCAAAAAGGTACCAAGCGTCACATAGTACCTTATTGCATTGTATGACTTTACAAGTTTTGAGCATTTATTTTAATGCAGAAAGGAACCATGTGTCACACGGTCCCTTTTTGCACACAAAGAATTTACGACCCTTAAGATTATTTTATAAACCAAATTGTTTTCTTGGTACCTTTTAGCTTTTTAATGAATACACAATCTAGATGTTGCTAAGGACATCAAATATAACAAAAAAACAGAGTATTGTTTCTGTTTTAAATCGAGGAATAATAACAGTGTGAAGATAATGATAGTGTATAAATGACTTCTTCGTAAAACTGTGGACGTAAAAAGAAAAGTAAATCTTGCCAACAAGATACATGGGGTATATGGAAGGAGAAGCATGACACGGAAGCGCACATCTGCAAATAAACTAAATTATGATATAGTTAAATTGGTGAAACAGCATAAAGAGTAATTTCATTAAATGAAATCTCATTATACAAGAAAAAAAAACTGAAAGAAACAATACGTATCTCATGACTATGACTTAAACATTAAAAAGATGTGGAAACTGTACACTATTGAAAGTGAAAAGTGTTAAGCAACATACATATAGGAAGGCAGTAGGCACACTAGATGGCACGATCAAGGAACAATATATTGAACATCAAAAAAAGAAAGAAAATTCACAAGAAGAAAAGATTTAAAGTAAAATTGGAGCAAAAGGTGAACCATGCGTTAATGTTGCATGTTTTGATCTCAATGCCGTTGTAACAACCCCTTGCTCATTAGTGAGTGAGCTTTACTATTTAAGAAAACTGTTGCTACACACCTTGACAGTATATTCCTTATGAGACAAAAATG